ATATTTGTCATAGAATCTGTATTTTGGGTTAACACAGTTTTTCAGTAAGTGTGCTTCATAATTTCTAGTTAGTAAGCATTGGTAATGTACAGCAAAAATAAAACTTTTGATTTCAGCTTTTAACCTTGCACTACATAACACTGACGGGGTTTATCTGTATTGACCATGAAGAGGCTTATCTTGCCATCGATTCTGCATTTGGTACATTGCATTTGCTTTTGCTTTCTTTTTTAGGTTCTTTACTGCTTCAGTATGTGCATTATTGTTTCTTTGCATTCTTCACCAAATTCAAATTCCCTTTTGAATTTGTTGGCTTCATTTATTATTGAATGTTATTATTATTAGTAGTAGTAGGAATAGATGAAGATGGAGGATTATTATTATTACAATTATTATTAGTAGTAGTAGTCTCTGATCACGATGTCTGCGTGATTAACTTTGATTTTTCTGTCTGCATGTATTGTAAAGTTTCATAAAATTGTTACAGGTTCAATCTCTGCAAACGGGTCTGGGTGGTGTTCCTACCAATTTCTTGCAGTTTCTTTTCCATAAAAGTTACATATTTTCCAATGCAGATATTGGCTTACTGATAGATTGGCCAGATTTTTATATTCATTGGATGCCAATAACATGTAACCTAATACAAGATAGTCAACTGTTTCCGGATATTTGTCATAGAATCTGCATTTTGTGCTTACATAATTTTTCAGTATGTGTCCTTGGTAATCTTTAGTTACCAAACATTGGTCATGTACAGAAAAATATAAAACTTTTGATTTCAGCTTTTAACCTTGCACTACATACCACTGATGGGTATGGGGTTTGTCTACATCACCTTGTTTGGTATGGACAGAGTATTGACCATGAAGAAGCTTATCTTGCCATCGATTCTGCATTTGGTACATTGCATTTGCTTTTGCTTTCTTTTTTAGATTCTTTGCCGCTGCAGTAGGTGCATTATTGTTTCTTTGCAATTCTTCACCAAATTCAAATTCCCTTTTGAATTTGTTGGCTTCTTTTATTACTGAATAATGATTCTTATTTCTTTCATGTTCTTTGACACAGATCATCACCCAGTCTTCTGTAGTTTCCAGATGTCGTTGAAGACCGATTGTTGTATTTTTTAAGACAGTTCTAATAGAACTAATCCTCTGCCTTCTTCGGATTTGGACACATACAAACGATCAACATCAGCCTTGGGATGATGCATGCGGTGGCAAGTGAAAAGCTTTCTTGTTTTGACATCCATTCGTTTAATGTCAGCTATAGGCCAGTTAAGGATGCACCGCAGAGACAGCCAAGATATTTATGGCTGTTATTCTGTTTTGTGAATTCAACTCTGTATTTAACACCAGACGCACACATCTATAGCAGTCCTTTCTTTCTTACTCCTTCATTCGAGTATGCTCCATTCCATCTCCTTCGCTGACTCATATGTATTTATAGGCTTCTTCTTGTTCTTGTTTCCGTAACCTTTGTGACAAAATCTAAATCTATTGAATGTGTTTCTGTAATTCTCCCTTTCTTGAGTGTTACTTTTGCACATTTATCTAATCCGAAGTCCATATCGATGTCATCGCTGAAACATTTTACAGTATTGAGAAGACCCTTTAACTCATTGTCATCTTTGGCAAACAGTTTGAGATCATCCATGTAGAATAGGTGAGTAAATATTTTCTTTTTTTAGTTTGTATCCATAGTTATTTCTGTTTAGGGTTAAGGACAGAGAAAACAAAAAAAGGTAACAGGAAGACGCCTTGAAAGATTGCTCGCCGGATATTCAGGCAATTGGAAGTGGCAGTGCCTTTGGTGTGATTTAAGTGTAATATGGTTTCCCACAGTCCCATGCTGTATTTAAGGATATTTAATATTACTGAGGAAACTTTGTACACTTCAAAAGCCTTAGGGACCCAAGTGTGTGGCGCACACTATCAAAGGGTTTACGGTAATCTATTGAAGTTGTGCTAAAATTTTTACATTTTCCAACAATTTCCCTGGATTATATTATTTATCAGTAGTTGATCTTTGCATCCATACGAACCTTTTCAACATCCCTTTTGTTGCAGGGGGAAAATGTTGCTTTCTTCAAGAAAAGAGTAAGTACAGTTCGCTGTGATTAATTTATTTGTGGTGGACATCATGTTATTGGTCTATAATTTTTTTTTACCTTCAGTGGTCCATTCTAGAATGACATTGGGGTTATTAATTAGCATTGATAAAGTTATTATTATTATTATTATTATTATTATTATTATTATTGTTATTATTATTATTATTATTATTATTATTATTATTGAGTGGAAGCAAACGTTCATTGTGTTTTTAAGTGAATTTCAAAAACAATATTTGGATACTTATATGAAGATTTGTTCAAACCCATATGTATCATTTGTTCCACTACCTTTCGCCTTCTTTTAGACAGCTTCATGATTCCATCCTCCCAGAACTTGGCATCTGTCTGTGTGATAAACTGCTCTAAGAGGTATTTAACAGCCTTCCAGAGAATTGAAAAACATTTTGTAGGGATCGAGACAAGTAACAATCCGAAGGTGCAAGACCAAGTGAGTGCAACGGATGTAGTAGGAGATCTCAGGGAAACAGTAGCAAAGGTCTGGTGTTGTTCTAATGAAAGACAACACTCTCCCGAACGCTTTCCATTGATTGCGGCCGTTGATTGATCTAACTGGGAACAGCATTTCGTCTGAATTCAACGTCTGATTTTACGGAAGAAGCTCGTCATACGCTACACCCAACAGATACACGGCAGCAGCATCATCTTCGAGTGCAGACTTACTTTTGCAATGGTTAACACTGGTGCATTTCTTTTTCCTCGGGACCGTTCCCCTTCTTTATTGTTTCAAACAAAGTCCATTTTTCTTTAATTAACAGTGTGTAATATTTTTAAAATGCGTTTGAAAAGTTGAATCTCAGACGGAAATGCTTTCATTTAATTATTTTTTCTTAAATCGTGAGGCACCCAAACATTATAATGATCCCCGCATTCAAATGTTTTCAAATGCTCTACAGCGCTCATTAAACATATGTGGAGTATCTCTGCGATGTCCCGTATTGTGTGACTGAGATTATTCTTAATCGGTGCTTTGATTTGGTCATCAACAACGACTGCAGGCCTTCAGGAACGTTTTCGGTTTTCCAGATCAAAATTTCCGCGAACCATTTATGAACATTCCCCTCAGCGGCGACACCATCTCTATAAACGGCGCACATCTTTTTTACTGTTTGTACTGCGGTTTTTCCTTTTCGAAAATAAATGACCATCAGATAGATAAAAACAGTCTGATTTGATTTGTTTGTTTCACGGCATATCAACTCCTTATGAGTTATTTAATGCTGAAATTTAATTTTCTTGAGAGCTTTGAATTAATACATAGTAGATGTGCAATATACATATTTGTGTGGACATGATTACTATTTTTTAAATTGTAGTATATTATATGGATTAACGTCATGTAAAAGTTCTTTTATGTTAATACCCATGTTTTAATTTCATTCTTGGTAATCCTTCAAGGTATGTGGTATTCAAAAAACCTGAATAAGTAATTACTTATATTAATAAATACTTATGTCTTATCTTGTCGGCACCCCCACATTTCTAAAAAGGCCTCAAAGGCCACAAAAAACATGCTTTTCGTGGTCAAGTTGACGAGTATCAAAGTGTAATATCTGTGCCAGCAGCAGCCGACAGCTAGCTATCAGCATTCTCGCCAGCAGCAACGATCTGCAATAAACTGTCCTTTTCAGGGCAACGCTATTTAGCAACCACAAAAACTTGTCCTTTTCAGAACAATGCTATTTCTCACCCTCTACATGTGCCTGCAGAGTTATCTTTTATCTAGTTCACACTAACATTATTTTTGCTTATGTATTTTTCTTTAACAAAAATAAACTTGGCAATATTTATTTTTTTTTTTACTCAAGTCTTCGTTTTATTTGTTGTTTTCCGTCATTCGATATTTGTTTGCTGTTATCCACCCGCAACACTTACGCCATTTAGGGAATACAGTGAGCTTTTGTACAAATTAATTTTAAAATTAATTTCTTTCAAGTTAAATAACTTGATTTAATCTTTGTTTAATTCATTTTTCCTATTACAGACTTGTATTCCGTCCTGGGTAAGACGATAAACTACATCCAACAGCTGGGCCTCTGATCGGGTGATTTTGAGGAACGTGGAACCACATCTTAATTACCGGTATTCGTGGGTCCACCCTGATCCGTAGTGGTAGCACCTGTCAGGATCCTAGCTATGGACAAGTGGTTGACGTCCCAAAAGGAGTCAAAGAATTATGAAAGTATAAAAATAGGTTTTATTACCAGCATTTTTGGAAATATTATTACCAGCAATACATTTTTGGAGAAAAATATTACCAGTAGTAAAAATCTTGCCGGCATTAAATAACCTGTTGAGGTTGATAAGCCGTAAAACAAACCAAACCAAACTTATATTTGTGCTAATGGAATTTTGCTTCAAGAAGGCATCTATGAAGCATTTGTGAAGCGTCGAGTTGAAGCAATAAAATATCAGTTGTTGGTAATGAACTTGACAAAGGAATCAATATTGGACCCCTTGTTAATTTTCAGGTTGTAAATAAGGTATTTCAGTACTAGATAATTTAGGATTTTATTACAATTCTTAGATTGTTTAGCAACATATCAACAGATTATGTGTCATTTAATTTTCTTAGGAGTTTGGATAATTTCTTTTCAAAAATGTATTACTAGCAATAGATTTTTTTACAAAAATCTGTTGCTAGTAATTTTTATTTTTTACTATAAAAATGTATTTTTATACATTCACGGTATTTTGATCCCAGTTTGCGCGGGGGGGGGGTAACTATTTGCCCATAAATGGGATCCTAATATGTGCTACCGCCACGAGTCAGGGTGAAACTGGGAACAACAGCAATTAAGAGATGGTTCCACACTCCTCAAACTACCCGGTTAGAGATCTTGCTGTTGGGTGGAGTTTATCGTCATACCCAGGACGGCATAGATAGATAGATAGATAGATAGATAGATAGATAGATAGATAGATAGATAGATAGATAGAAATGACGGACTGAGAAAGAAAGAAAGAAAGAAAGAAAGAACAATAAGAAAAATGATCAGACTGAGATAGATAGATAGATAGATAGATAGATAGATAGATAGATAGATAGATAGATAGAAATGACGGACTAAGAAAGAAAGAAAGAACAGATTGAGATAGATAGATAGAAATGACGGACCGAGAAAGAAAGAAAGAAAAAAGAAAGAAAGAAAGAAAAAAGAAAGAAAGAAAGAAAAGGAAGGAAAAATGAACAGACTGAGATAGATAGATAGATAGATAGATAGATAGATAGATAGATAGATAGATAGATAATTTTCTTTATACGCAGTAGTTACGTTGCTACTTATATATTGACAATTATATCTAAGTACTATAATCTATATTATCTGTGGCTCTTCTTTCATTTTGCACCTGCAATTACTAATTTAATATCTCATGGAATCGATTGGAAGTGGCGACCAAATGTTTCTTTAGTATTTCAGTTTTCTTCTTTTCAACATCATTTTGTGACTGCGTAGAATCGATATCGTTCGCCATTTTAGCGACAACAATTCACTCTCAACCTGCGTTCCATGGAATTCATTGGCCTTCTAGTTTGCCATTCAATAGAGAAGAAAAAATAATCTTGGCGGAAAATTGGGGAGAGTTTCCATGGCGTATTATATAAATAATTATACGCACACGATGCACGCATTTCTATCAAAGAACAGAGTCAACTCGCTTCCAAATTTGGGAGAATACGGGGCCAAATTCAGAGATCTTTTTCTTTCTTTTTATATGCCATGTCCTTTCAGGACGTAGTCGATCATGGCTCTCCACCTCCCCTCTATCCCTTGCAGCCCTCAACAAGTTTCCTTCACTCTACTTCCTCCCCCAGACCACGTTCTGTCGTCCACTTGCTTAAGCCAGCCAGGTATGTCACGCGTTGTTTTCTCTTGTCTATCTTCCCCGCTATCCGACACGTGAGTATCAGGCTCTCATTATATGACTCAGAAACTTCAGGTGTCTAGGCCTCCTCCTTGTTTGCCACCTCTTTAAGATCTCATCATTGCTCACGCGCTTAGTCCATGATATCCTTAGCATGCTTCTGTAAAAGATCTATGGAAGATGCAGGTTGCTTAGTTTAGATTATATGTGGCGTGGCCATTCAGGGCGTTAGCGATCACGGCTCTCTACAAATTCCTCGGTCAACTGCTAAGAAAGTTGTTTCACTGTGTCTAGTTAGACAATTTTTTCTCTTCAGAATCTATCTTACATATATACATATTTATACCATATATATATATATATATATATATATATATATATATATATATATATATATATATATATATATATATACACACACACACACACACACACACACACATATATGTATGTATGTATGTATATAATTTTTTAAGCATATCACCCCAAGCAAAGCGGGAGTGTCCCTAGCACGCAAACGGTTACGGAAAGTGAGAGCAGGAGTAAAAAGGTGTGTTTGAGGAAAGGACACAGAGAATGATGGGGATCAGGATCGAGGCATCAGAAGATGTCGATTGACATTACATTTGAATATTTGCAGGTTATAGCTATCAGGGAAGCAAGTAAGAGGAAGGGAGTTCCACTGACGGGAAGTGCGAGATAAGAAGATGTTGGAGTAGAAGAGACAGCTACATTTAACCGTTTCGACATTGAAAGGGTGGGACCAAGATGTCAACCTAATACCATCATTAAATTCATGCAGTTTGGGAACCAGTGAAATAGCTCGTCAGAGCAGTTGCCATAAAAATACTTGTAGAAAAGACAGAGGGAAGCCACAGCACGTCTGTGAGCGAGTGACTGTAGATGAGATGCCAGATTAGGTCCTATCACATTGCATATTTGTCTCTGGTTTTTGTCGAAGACCTCGAGATGAACAGCGGGGGCACCAGACCATATATGGCAGCATTTATATGCTAATTACATACACTAAATTTAATACAACCAACTTAATCTCAGTCAACTAGCGTTTTACAAAAGACCAACATCATATATCAATTTAAATGCCTTTTGGGAGATTGTATCTCTGACAAAAATGTTAATATATACGTTGGTCTTACAACTACGAATATATCAAGGAGACTTACATTTCATTTGAATGATTATAACTCAATTTTACAACATTTAAAAGAACATTCTTTTCCACATTTACAGTTTAAACATATATTAATCGACAACACAATTATAGTCCACCACGAAAATAATAAACAAAAACTTCAAATTTTAAGTCTTTTATATATATATATATATATATATATATATATATATATATATATATATAATAGGGCCAAGAATAAGTCAATTTCGAATATAGAACAAAGTTCTAAAATGTTTATAACAGCAAAGTTTTTTAAAAATAATTAAATAATTATTGTTAAAAACAATTTCAAACATTTTTACTGCAATCCTAATAAGAGGTTACATAAGTTACCTCCCTTACATAGCTGATAAAAGTTTTTTTTTCCTTTTTTTATTCCGAATCTACAGCGTTCACGCTCCTCTATTCATAAGCTATACCAACTCTTTCTTTTAGAAATTCAACCACTGAAGATTATCTCAGTTGAGACTGAAAAGACTTGGAAAAATAAAAATCATATGAATAATAATGACGCCATTTTTCTCGATCAATTTTCTACAAGCACAAAGAAATTAATTCGTGGACCTGAGAGTATTAGAATTTAAATAAATAGACATAATACGTCTAAACTAATTAACCAAACATGTTTTTTTAATGAAGATACTTTGCCTATATATATATATATATATATATATATATATATATATATATATATATATATATATATATATATATATAATAATATATATATATAAAATAATATATATTTATATATATATAATAATATATATATATAAAATAATATATATATATATAAATAATATATATATATAAAATAATATATGTGTGTGTGTGTGTGTGTGTGTGTGTACTGGAGACATACAAGGGTATATGTGGCTACTTGAAGTTCTAAAGCCCATTTTCTTGTGGTCGATCCTTACTGGGTTTCCAACCTCTTTGATCTTGTGCCAAACTTAGTACTTCTGTTTATCCTCAATTATTGGACAAAGACGCTGGATGGACAACAAACAAACAATAGATAGATAGATAGATAGATAGATAGATAGATAGATAGATAGATAGATCAATATCTCCATATAGTTGCGCGTCTCGAAAAAGGGTTACTTACCCTTATACACCACTGGTGACTGAAGATTATTAAAATCGATAGTTATATCCCAACAGGTGTGTTAAAAGTAAGAGAGAAGGACAGACAGATTATGTCCAGGCTATGATGGTTATAATTGAAAAGCCTTACATATATGAACAGGTAAGAAAGAAAGAAAGAAAGAAAGAAAGAAAGAAAATAATTGAACGAAATAGTCATGTTCAACTACGCATGAGCGCATACTCTTCTCATATGCATGCCATCATTCTGCAGCCATTTTCAGTATTCTCCAACGTTTAAGCCCTGACAGAGTTTCCCTACTCCTTGCCTATGTTAGCCAACGAGTCAAAGCATCAGCATACAAACAGGTTTCTACTTAATAACACACTTCCTTATTTTGCTGGTGAACACAACACAGACAACGAACGAAAAACAGCAAAATCTACTTGCATACTTTACTCACTATCATCAGCCTTGGCTAACTTGAATTGCAACTGTTGTCGCTTCCAAGTCGATAAGATTCGTAGATCTCCGAAGAAGTCAAAAGGAAAATAATAGAGACAGAGAGACGGAGAGACAGGGAGAGATATACAGAAAGAAAGACAGAGGGGTGAGAAAAAATGGAAATAAAAGACAGAAAGAGAGAGGAGAAAGGTCAAAGGATAAAAAAAAAACGTGTGGTTTAAAGGAGAGAAAAGGCCTTGTAAATAGACTGAATACGCATTAACTACATCAATGAATGAAGCTAACAGCCGACACCTTTTTCATATCACGTGATGGTCGGAAGAAAACAATAACAACGCGGCTGGTCATGAGGGGGAGGAGGTATAAACCTTAAGCAAACATCGGCAATGCCATATAAAGAGAACAGTTGATAAATATATCGTAAATGAATCGACGCTTATGTTTTTGGCAATGTTTAACCTTTGTGCCAGCAAAAAAAAAAAAAAAAAAAATGATGTGCCAAAAGGTCTGTTCTTCCATTGACTCCGATATTACAGTATACACTTGTGACTCCCTCGGCAATGTTTTTTACAAGATTATACAAATATGGGAAGCAAGTGCCGTTTGAGATTTATTATTTACTTTTTATAAAGAAATAAATGTGAAAAGAAATATTTTGATTCAAAAATTTATAAAAAAATGACAAAATGACCAAAATATTTAAACCAACTGAATTATCGACCGGTTCACTCTGTTTCCCTGTCTTTTGAACAGGAGTAGAGGTTTATTCCTTGTTCCCTGTTTAGAGATGGGTTTCCGGTTCTTTCTAAACATTTTTCATTCTTTTTCACTTCCAATAGCCGCTTATGTTTTAGTAGCATTATCACCTTGCTTGAAGTAAACTTATTAAAAAAAAAAAAAAGAAAAAACTAAAACGCAATATTTATCATTTACCATTTTATAAATATCTATTCAATCCAATAAATAAATAGTGTTTAACATCTTTGTTGTCATTTCTCAAGAATAAAGAAAATGTATAAATTCACTTTCTTATTTATAGGTTTTATTAAAATTATAATAATCGCTTTTTAAATCAATAAACATTGCCGAGGAGTTAAGGTAGTTAATAGCGGTGTTAAGGGAAAAACATCCTTTTGACACTTCGGTTTTATTTCTTTGTTTGTTTATTTTTTCTTGCCGGAACGAGGTCCAAGTTTACCGAATTTATTTTGTTAATAAAATTAGTAATACTATTCTTCAAAAGACATACTAAAATCTATCAAGGTATTTCTTTAAAAAGGGACAGTGAGGGTTTACTTATATTTCAAAAGGTTTTATTTGCTGAACTAGTCAATAGGTCCTTCATCATGATGAAAGACATCAGCTTGAGTGAAACGTTATCGAAACTGTTGATGATTTTGACCGCATGAAATCACATTCATCGTGACCAAGGATTGTTCAATGACTGATCATGTCGGATTGTGCACTCGCCATTACAGAAACGTCTTTTTCTATAATTTTAGAAATAACTGTGAAAATAAGTTTTTATTCAATCTAGTAAATAAATATCGTTTAATAGCTTTGTTTTTATTTCTCAAGAATAAAAAAAATGTATAAATTCACTTCAATATTTTTAGGTTTTATTAAAATTCCAATCATCACTTTTTAAAACCATAAACATTGCTGAGGGAGTCAAAAGTGTATACAGTAATAGCAGTGTAAAGAGAATAAACGTTCTTTTAACACATTGTTTCTGGTTTCTTTTTTTGCGAGGAAGAAGGTTAAAGATTTTCGTTTTATTATTTTTCATTTCTGATGTGTACTCATTTCTTTCCGGGTCCCAACCAGAGACCTAAGGTCAAAAATGGCATCATGACATTTTCCACTGAGCAGTTTTTGAGAAGAAAAAAAAAACACCTAAGATCACACATATTTTATATAGATAAAACCCTTCGTAAGGCGTGGGCTGTACTTATGAGTACAATTTTTTTGTATTTCTTTAAGGCATGGGCTACAAGAGATTCCTTCAATAAGTCTATTGGAATCTTTTCTAATCGATTCCGAGGGCTCCAACTACAACTGGAATTGTTGATGTCCTCATGTGCCACATTTTTGAGATTTCCATTTCAAGATAGATTTTTGAAGATCTTCAAAGATTCATTACACTCTACAGGGACTGCCATGTCAATAAGAAAGCACATTTTGTTTTAGTGGCCTTTTTGATCGTGATCGCTGTATTATTATTATTATTATTATCATTATTATTATTATTATTATTTGTGGTTCTTAGAAACATTTAGTCATTGTTAATGGGTGCTGACAACGGACCTGTGTATACACGAACACACTTGAACTTTGTAGGCAGGGTTTCGTTTGTTGTTAGGGTGGAGGTAAAATTCTATTTTTCCCTCCTTTGCTCCTTGTTTCTTTTTCTAGATAATAATTGCATCCTTGCGTATGTACGGGAATAGACGGGTCGGTTAAGGCGGACGAATGAATTCATTAGACTTCAGTGACTCCACATCGGTAAATGTATGGTGCGAACCGGGGAACCTCATTCGAAACGTGGACCCTATATTCTCGCCTGTGATGTCTGAGAGACTCTCGTCCCCCTTCCCCGTTGCGGTAGGTTTTTATATACCTCTCTCACGCTTACAATCCAGCTGTACTTGTAGGATACGTTATTCTACATTCGGCGACTGGTAGGTAAATTCAAGTCAACCAGGCCATTGGATCCCTTGATTGTCTGGTCGGATATTGAGTGCCATTTTTTTTCTGACAAGACACTACAAATAATAATAACACAAGTTGACATCTAAAAGACTATGGAAGTTGAGGCGCGCAAACTGGTCAAAAGCCCTGGGTCGAAACTCTCTAATCTATCGAGTATGTCCTAATAACGAATCAAAATAGGATCAATTTGAAATGATGTAGACATCAAATATCTTGAATGAAACCTTTGTTAAAATCCGTATCATTGAGTATATGGTTCTTAACTATTGTGTCGACAAGTTTGTATTAATCCCGATGGCAAAATTTAATTCAAAGCGAAGGACTTCCAATTCAGTATTGCAAAGGTTTATATAAGGTAGATGTTTAATACAAAACAATATAATAACAATCCAAAATCTGAAACAGGATTTTAAATTATAAACTGTAACAATTGCCAACAGAAATACATCGGAGTGACTTCAAAAAATTTAAATAAAAGTTTATATGAACACAAAAAAGATTTACGAAACAATACATTCATCGTTCATCATAATGAATCATCGTAATAATTTCTATTTAAAAAATGCTGCTTTAATTAAAAGAGGAAGTAATTCATATCTATAAATATATAGAAAGTGCACTGATTTCTGAATAATCAGTGGTAAATTTGAGTCCACCTTTTTACGACATAGCCTAAATCGTTATTTACATTTTTGTTGTTAGATATTATTGGTGTTCTCTTTCTTTAAGAGTCTAGTTCCTTCAGGACTTATGGGATCATAGCTCTCCACTACTTTACTTTACTTAATATCTGTAAACTGTTTATTGTCAAGACTGTTCTTGGAAAGATAGTGAATGTTTCCTGTTGCTTTCTCTATCGTTCTAAGTTAAGAGTTTTTCCTCTCGACTTGTTGTTAAGCAAATCTAGAAAGACCAAACTGTTAAGTTATTTAAACCAGAGCTGAAGGTGGAATCATATTTTCTCTTAGTGGCAATTAAATATAAATTGTTTCCATAAGATACATGATTGCCTAAAAGTGTATCACGCATGGCACATAACTGATTAGATAACAATTAAGTTTTATTTCAAGATTTTGGTTGCCTGTCAGTGTGTGTGCGCATGTCAGTACTTGTGTGATGATGACCGGAAGTATGTCAGCTTCATTGATGACGTCATAACACTACCAAAACCGATACAGACTATATCTTTTCATATCCATACATACCTGGGAGAAAGTTTAATTTATAAAATAGGGTCAATAAATGATTAACAACAAATAATAAACGGCAAATTCTGTGTGTCCGTCCGTGTGTCTGAAACAGCTCTACTTGGGTCCACACTTGATGTACATAAACATATTATACCTTTTTGAAATCTGCTCTTCCTCTAGTGTTTGAACATTCAGCATTGGGATTTGCTTCCAGATGTGGAGGGAACAATAGCAAATTCAAATTTTAAAATAAATGAAAAAAAAAAAAAAAAAACGCTGCTGAAACTAGCTCTTTCGGGGCTTCACCCTTGTCGGGGGCCCTGCGTTGTACGTACTGCACCGTCCATGTAGATACACAATGTATATTATTAGTTGTTGACTGACAATGTAACATCAGTTTAAAAATAATTTTAGAAAATGGCAGATGATTATAAAACAGCACTGAAAAAAATGGCAGTGGCCACAACTGGTCCCCACAAAACGTCCCCTTCCCGATTGGGGTTAAGACCCACCGGCCCTGGCTGCCACCCACGTAAATTTAAAGTTGAAGCTCGTTTGAGCCACCTTTCAGAGTATATAAGAATACTGGTCAGCGAATGAAGGCAGAAGGAAGCAGCCTGGTTGCAGAGAGACAAGAAAAGGTACTTACACATCAGATGGGAATGAAGCCGACTTGTCGCAGGAAGTGGAAGGATTTTTGACGTTAACCGATGCTAGAAGAGCAAAAGGCTAAAAAATGATTAGATTTTATTTCATTTGATTGACATTTTGCGACTTACTAATGTTTTGTAGGTTATTTAAAGCCAGAAAATATTTTGTAAGCCTTTTTTGTTAGATAGTAATAACTTACTAGTAGAAAGCGGGCGCGCACGAT